GTCGTTTCATATCATAATAGAGCTTCTGTTTTCTTTGTGCTACTTCAGTGTTCTTTTTTGCTTCTTTAATTAATTTTTCTATATCACCCATTTTAAATTCTGGGGCTCTTTGTTGAACATAAAATAATTTATCTAACGGCGTTATAATCTTTCTGCCTAAAAATAACTCAGCAGGAGTTTTGCCCGTTGTATCATGTTTTGCGGTCCTAAGGGCGAAAGCAAATTCATTGACATAGTTATCCCAGCTTTTATGAAATTTTTAACATAACTACGGATAATTTTCACTATATTTCTATTGACCCGTTCCGCTATATTTGATTGCGGCCGATACGGGACCATTTTTAAATGACGTATGCCCAGTTTTTGGCACATGTCTTCAAATATATTACTTACAAATTGAGGACCATTATCCGATATAACTTTTAGGGGCGCCCCGTATTTTAAAATATATTTATTTAAAATAGAATCAGTAACTAATTTCGCGGAGGCTCGTTTTAAGGGAACAATTTCGGTCCACTTACTAAAATGATCAACCATAACAAGGAGATAGCGACTTTTATTTAACTGACTTTTTGGGAAAGGGCCCAATAAATCGATGCCAATTATTTCATTTGGAAATTCGGATTTAATACTATTTAGAAACCCGGCCGGGCGGAAATTAATATAATTAACTGCTTGACATGTTGGGCAGGACTGGACATACGCCCTTGTTAACTTTTGCAGTTCAGGAAAATAGACTGCCTCGCGTACGCGTTGGATAGTTTTTCGAATACCAGCATGAGAAGCTAAAGGGCTGTCATGTAACTCCTGCAGGATATTTAATCTAAGACTAGCTGGGATAACAGGTCGAAATTCGTTGTTGGAATTTGTAGTTTTTGTATAAAATAATAGACCATCTATTAGTTCGTAATGGGCCGCCCTATTTCTTATCGCCACAATATCTTGGTGGCTAAAATTTTCAGGATCCTTTAAATACTCATAAATGTTTTCCAAACTCAGGATCCTTACCCAGTTCGGTTATTACAGTTTCTCGGGAATTTATTGTACATGCTGTGAGCATTGCCACCTTTACAGTATTACCTTCTTCATCTATTTTTATTCTGGATAGGGCATCTGCTACGATATTTTCCTTTCCGGGGGTATGCTTGATTACCAGATTATATTCTTGTAAGCTTGAGTGCCCATCTTATTAACCTTGGGGATAAGTTTTTCCCTGAGTACAATCTAGTTACCGCCGCATGATCAGAATACACTGTTATTGGCGCCCTTCCAAAATAGACTCGGAACTTTTGCACTGCTAACAGAACTGCAAGTGCCTCTCTCTCGGTCGCGGAATAATTTCTTTGTGTTTGATTTAAAGTTCGACTAAAAAATGCCACGGGCTGCTGATTTTGCGAAAGTACCGCTCCTACCGCATAATCCGAAGCATCCGCTGAAATTTCTAAATTCTCATCCTTTTCAGGAAATTTCAACACAGGGGCTTGCGTTAATGCTTGCTTTAATTTTTCGAAAGCACTATTGGCTTCGGCCGTCCACGAGAATCTTGCCTTTTTCCTTTTTAATTTTAACAATGGTTCAGCAATAGCTGCAAAATCTTTTATAAAGGACCTATAATATGAACAAAGTCCTAGAAAAGAAGAGAGCTTCTTCGCCGTATTTGGCGGCGGATACTTTTGCACAGCGATTATTTTTGATTCGTCTGTCTCGATTCCTTTCTGAGATATTTTGTAACCTAAATATTTTAATTCAGGGGCTGCAAATTTGCACTTTTCGACATTAACTTTTAGACCGGCCTCATTTAATAATGAAAACACCTGTCTTAAATCCTGTACATGTTGGTCCAGATTATCACTAGTAATAATGATATCGTCTAAATAGATAAATGTGGACTTTCCAAGAACAGGCCTTAGCACAATGTCCATACATCGCTGAAATGTTGCCGGTGCCCCTGAAAGGCCAAACGGCATACGCAGGAATGCATAAGTGCCAGACTTGGTTATAAAAGCAGTCTTAGGCACGTCCTCCGGTCTAACCCCTATTTGAAAATAACCAGTCGTTAAGTCTAAAGTCGTCATATATTTTGGTAGAAGTTATGTTCCTTAGAATTTCTTCAATAATAGGTAACGGATATACCGGATATTTAGTTATGGAGTTTAATTTACGATAGTCAATCGCGAAAACGCCACCTTTTTGGATGTGTTAATGGATAGTCATTGTTTTTCTTACATAAAACCACCGGGCTAGCATAACTACTTGAGATGGGCGTTATGATCTTTTTACGTAACATATCTCTAATGTGCCATCTCTATAATTTTTTTCCTTATTCTTATCATACCGGTATGGCTTTGTGGCGAACTGGCATTGAATCTCCGGTGTCGATACTATGGTTAGTAACTTGAGTAAATCCTGGAATATCACTAAATAACGAAGCAAATTCACTTACCACTTGTCGGATTTTGTTGCTCTTCCTTAGGCAGGTGGTCAAGGTTTAACATTGGCGGTTCAGTTTTTTTTCTTCTCGAACTGGTTTCATCGTCAGCTTAAGGGACGCTTCATTAAAATCCAGCGTTGCTTCTGCCTCTGAAAGAAAATCTATTCCTAAGATAATATGTGCTTGCAGATTCTTTACTATAAAAAACATAACCTTTACTTGTTCGTCCTTGATACGAACGTATATAGCGGTAATTTACCTATGCACTTACATCTTTCTCCCTGCGCAGCTAACACTGTCGTATTATCCGAATTATATATGCGGTATTTCCGAAAATACTTCCTAAAAAAATCTTCTGCCACACAGGAACACTGCGCGCCTGTATCCAGGAGTGCGGTGGCTGGGATGTTATTCACCAACACTTCAATCTTCGGAAGAGTCAAATTTTTCACCATTACTGTATTTAACTTGAAGGAAGAGGGGTTTTCTTGGCCTTCGGATTTCCGCACCCTCCCGTCAGCAGAAATCCGTTTTAGTTTAAATCTTTTTTTCTTTCCATGCTTTCCTTCTTTTTCCACTGGCCTTGAGACTTTTTTCCTGGATTGCTATTGAACTGTCGACGTTCGCCGGCTGTTTTTGGATGCTCGGGTTTCCTTGCCCACTGATTCGCTTTGCTTCCGTAGCCGTGTGCTTGACTTTGCTGTGGTCTTGGCGCACCAAATTGGTTTCGTTGTTGATATTGGCGTCTTCTTTCAATGTCCGCCGTTCTTCTACTTTCAAACTGGATTGCTAGCTCAAATAATAACTTTTCCAGTGTAGTCGGATTCCTTAATTCAATAAAGTCTTGTACTTGGGGAAGTAACCTCGGCAAAATCACTTGAATTATCTCAGGATCCGGACGGTTTCCATACAAGAGTTTGAAGACGTGAATTTTTCTTAAAATAAAGCTTGGAGAGATTTTCGATTCTTTGCTGATATATGCTGAAAAGTTCCGTTTCTAATTTCGCACGATCCCTTACGACAGGGAAGGCTTTTACTAGGGCAGTCTTGAAATTTTCGTAAGTATAGGTGGGACTTCCTGCTTGACCCAAGAGACTTCTGCCTATACATTTGAACCAATTAAGCGCTTGGCCCCTCAAAGCGCTGGTAGCTAAGGTGACTTTTCTGGAACTCGTGCACGGGATACAGCATGAAGTGGTCATCCAATTTTTCCAAAAAACTGGTTACCGGTGAGTTTCCATTAAATGTTGCTTCTGGTTTCATCGAAGCGCGCATGGTCTGGACGATGTAACCAAATCCTTCCAGGGCGGCAGCTGGCATTTCTGGATTCTGAGCCGCTTCTGCAGGCAGCACAGGTTCTTCTTGAAACTCGGCCATGGTTATTCTTCTTCGTCGTCGGGCGCCACTATCAGGTTCAATGTTTCCTCTTACTTGCTTTGGGGAACATTCAAGAACCTGACTCGGAACAGGGAGCTTACTAAATCTATGTTCAATAAATGTGGGAAGTAGACAAGATACACAGGAAGGGTATACGAAACCCTTTATTTTTCACTCTTTACAATAATTTCCGGACTTCGGAATACAGAGACCAACCACTTGTGGTCTGAACGTAAGAATATAAAAATATTAACTAAACTCTAACTTAACTTTGGAATAATAAACAAGGCCTACGTGGAAGATTGGCCGTATATTAACAGGAAGCCGTATGTAGTACAGAGAACTGTTAACACTACAATACGTTTAAAATTATCAAGAGGATTAAACCTCTGGCCTGGAAGGCAACCAGCAACCGAGTAAAACTGCTAAGGCAAGCGGCCTGCTTCTACTAACTCCTTCCTCTCTCTCGCTTGGCAAAAAGCCACAACTTAAGTACTTGGCGTTCGCCAGACAAATTTGCATAAATAAGTTAAAGCTTTTAATTCTGGCCGGAAGTAGAAAATAAGAAGTGATAGTAAAGATTTAAAATAAAATAAACGTTAGTAAAACTTAAGATCCTTACAATATAAAGAAAGTAATTTACTGAAAAAGGAAATGAAATATCCAAAGTAATTATTAAGGAATATTTATTGATACTCCTGATGTTTGAATAGATAAAATAATGCAATTTTTCTCAAGTCCTACCTGAAACAAATTTATATTTAATAGTAAAACTTATTTATGTGCTTTTAGTTTTAATTCATCAGGATCATTTCACGAGCACGGTCCCGGGAAGACACTAATCAGAACGCAACGTGTATTACTCGTAATTACCATCACAGAAACGTTAATTTTGATTGAACTTGAATTTAAGGTTAAATTAGACTATTTTAGAATACTAAGGTAGATCAGGAACTAACAGCCAAGTTTTATCGTGGCGGAAAAACCACGATATTACATATCTAAGAAATAAATTTCTCTCCAGTATCAACAGTAAGCCACTTTTATTAAGGATGAGTGTTTATTTGTATTTTATATGGTATAAGTGTTTCGTGATGAAATGTACGATAAAAATTTCACATTCCGATAAGAATGTAGAAAGATATAACATATGAAATGTCAATTCTCTTATATTTTTATTTCCTTTCTTTAGTGTGCTCAGAAGCAACTATTGTTCAGCCTATCCTACATATTGCTATAGACCTGAAAACGAGAGAGCATTCTGTCAGAAATATGAACATTATTGTGAACATTCAGAGCTTCCAAAAGACTTTATGGTAAGTAGTAAGTTGTACATTTATTTACATATTTATACGCTTCCTACAAAAGGTCGCTCGCACGTTATGGATACGATTTTTCTATTTAAATTGTTCGTTAGAATTTTGAGGTAAAGATTTGGCATCGTGTGCTACCGTTTTGTTTTTAATGAATGCAGAATAATATGTTTAATTAGATATATCTTCTATAGTGCATTTGCATAACATTCGAGAGATGTTATAGGGCTAAAAATCGAGATTGTTGAACCTCGAAGAAACGTTATTTTTAATACTATATTAATAAAAAAACCTATAAAATCCCCTCTTGACGTTACAGGAAAGAGGGGTAAAAGCTAAACAGAATTAAGATAGAAAAACTATTAAGCACCAAACTAGATAACAAATCAAAATTTAAAATTAAAATTAATAACCTTAAAGGTCCTCCAAACAAACCACCAATAAAACCAAACAAAACTACATTAAAGTTTCTGAAACAGAAATTTAAATAAAATCCATTTTTAAGTAGAAAAATTAACAATAGCAAAATTAAGTAATACAGGTACAGCCCAAAACAAAATTTTGAATAACCACTTTAACAAAACCATTTAGTTAATAAAATTAAGAATAATGTTAGGTAACAGTTACACAACACCTAAAATATAATAAATGTGTTTAGTGAAAAATCTTATGTTTTATTTGAGTTTTTTTATATGGTGGTCTGGCCGGTCATTCCACATGTTTGATTCTTAATGGCTTTCAGAAACATGGAGATTGATTTACGTAGGTTATTGTTAAGTATTTTTAAGAATTAAAACACACCACTTACAATTTCAAGTACTAACCACTTTTCATTTTTATTCTCATTATACTGGATGTGTACTGGGGAATTATTTGGCTATTGAAATTGCCGAAAACTTATTTAAACTAATTGATTTTCTTTTATTTTCGAGGGAACTGATTGATTGATGTGTATGAATACTTCTTCTCTGATATTTGAGGTTGAATTCATGGAAATTAACTTGTGGTTAATTCTAGAGATAATTATGGAACTGATTTAGTCTGTGTGTTTTAAGGAATGGTAAATTTTAAAAGAGATAGCATTCTTATTCTCCAAGCACCAGCAAAGATTTATTCCTTTTCATTTACTTGCTGTTGATTTAATAAGTGGGAATTTGCATTTTTGATTGAGTTAAATAATTTTAAGGATATTAGTTTACTGATTTAATTTGGGTTTAGGTCAATCATGCAGTTCTTCAACACAGAATAAGAGCCTTTAAGTTAGATGCCTTTCTTTATTTTTATGGCACCAGTGATAAATAAGTAAGATATAATAATAGTAAATTTCTATTACATAACATTTATTTTTCTGAAGAAAATCAAGAAGAAATTTCAACCTAATTTCACCAGAAGAAATCCCCCAAGGCAAAAGGCAGGCCACGGGAGCAGGCAAACCCACAGGAGAGTAAGCTCCTCAGGCCTCTTTATTTATTTCTAGATAATTTTGATTTTAAAGTCCAGCAGAAGCCTTGAAGAAAACTCTGTTTATCCATACACTAGATTTCTACGGGCTGAAATTAAAACATAAAAGTTAGTTTGGCCAACCAGATTTTTTGTATTACTTTCAGTCCCCTCCTTACGAATAGAAACAGAGATGCTGCTATAAAGACATTTGCTTGACATATCTGCCACTGAGTCACCAGAACGCGTGAAAAAGCAAACTTCGATAACTACAAACAGATAAGGTCACTGAAATCAATTTCACTGGACGTTCCTCTGTTCGAAAAGCCATTTATCCATCAATTGCAACGTTCACAAAGAAAAAGTGAAGCAGTTACTTCTTCCTTTTCACAGTAAACAAAACCTCCTGTAGCGATGATAATTTAACAACTGTTCCTCATCTTAAATCTCCCAGCGCGCCCAAAGAATTCCTTTGGCGAACATTGACCAAGTAATTCGATCCCCGCTTCCGCACAGATGTTCCGAAAAAAACCGCTCCCTGTTTCTTCATGACAAAGTTTAACCATAAAAAAATAAATCAAATCAAAGACTTTGTAAAGACATTAGGTATTTTTGAAGCGGGAGAGATGAAAAAGGAACAATGCCCTCTACGGGACTCCACTCACTGACCTTACGTTACGGACTTTACGTCCTTAACGTACCTTACGTACGACTTTACGTACGACTTTACGTCCTTGCGTACGACTTTACGTTGCGGGAGAAACACCTTACAACTTTAAATGCCAAAAATAAATGTTCACTACGCAAGTCACAAACAACTTCTGATAAATAAAAACTTTAAAAGTAATTAATTAAATTACATTAGCATAATTAAAATTTTGCGACACAATAGTAATGGGAGATCTTTAAAATCAGTTAATGGTGTTTCGCTAACTTAATTTTTCCAAGGAGCCTCCACTTTTATTTCTTCGGTCGTTCGGCGGTGGGCTGACCTAACCTCCGATCCTTCTCACGGAGAGAAATTAACAACTAAAGTACAAATTTTAGATGAGGAACTGCACAGTGATCATAAATAAGAAATAATTAAATTTAAGGATTTATAAATTAACAATGCTGGCTGCATTGTACTAATAAGTAAGGCTTCCCTCTTTAGAACTTTCTGTCGAAGAAAAAAATGTGAGTTATTATATAAAAAAAAAAAAGATTTCCAAAATATCTAAAACAATGGCATGTCCATAGGAGCACACAGTATATGAGAGGTTACGTTTCTTCAACATGACAAAATTACAAGTGTTATCAGACTATGTTTCCATAGGGATTTTCTGAGGAAACGTGGCTCGTATTCACATTACACATGAGAAAAAACACGAAAATCAACAATGTTGCCTGCCCGTTTAACTTGGTTCGAAAAGAAAACAGGCAGAACTACAAGAATTCAGCAGTCTTTAAACTACTTGGCTGCTGGCGCAGCCAATATAACCGCGACTCTACGATCTACAGAAAATATTTTAAGAAATATTAAGAAAGATCGTAAAATCCTTCACTTCGTTACAGCTAAATATTATTATGATGCACCGTTCGAGATGCCAACTAGCAACGTTATGCATAAGATTATATCCTAGACATATAAACTCTGATTCTAAAATGCAGTTTTTAAACATTTTTACATCAGAAATGAGTAAAGCTCCCGGGGTCCTGACATTGCTTTTGTTAACAAAATTCCAACAATGACCTACATTTTACCATTTTTCAAATCCTGTGACATCGCATTTAAGACCAAAGAGATTTCTTGTTCGAAGAGATTATTGTAAACATAATAAAAATGATACTTTACTGAATATTTTATTTGGACACTTTTATTAAGATTTCATAAACATATATATCTCAGTTTATGAAATATATATAACAGTTTATGAAATATATATCTCAGTTTAAACTGAACATATATATCTCAGTTTATCTGTTTTCCCCCCACCTTGAAAGTGTCTAAATTAAATTTACTTTTCAAAAGACAACAATAAATATTCCTCAGTTCGGATTTTCCGTCTTGGCAAAAATATCGGACAAACGCGTTATCAGATAACTATCATTTTTATTCTCTAACGAATTTTTCTCTGAGAAACAGTTTGGCAGTTCACTGAAGTGAGCTTCATGCAGTAGTCAGTATTATTCAAACATGTAAAAGCGCATCATGTTGCTCTTGTCTCGTTCGATATCACTGGTGTATTCGATTCATTTCGAAGAACACCTCTCTTATCTTCATTATTTCAAATAGGAGATGATCCCCCGAAATATATTTGGAGTTCATATTATGCACCGCCAGAGTTATGTTTGCAAGCATCACGTTTAAAAGGAACCGAACTTTAGATACGTGGAAATTGACAGAGTAATTTTTGAGTTGTCCCCACGAATTTTGTAGCTCTCCTACTTCGTAGCTGGAAATTGAAAAATTTATATAATTATTTATCCTGTATTTTTGTATATTTACATATTTTATATCAATTGAAAAATTATTTAGCATTATAGTTTTATATTTTTTCCACTCATTTATCTCGGGAAAAACTGCTTTATATTATAAATATATTATTATTTCGAACAGATTGCTAGGAGGGAAATTTTCAGCGAGTTTGTTGTCAAAGAATTCCACCAGACGGAAGGAGATTTTTGGATTGAAAGAGATCTAAGCGCATTCGGGTAATTGTATTCTCTAACTCGCTTCATTTTCACACTAATTTCAGCTCTGCACTTACTCTAAATGATTCGGATATTACAAAAAGTGTTTTCAGATTTAAAAAATAACAATTGTTTTGTGTTTACAGGACTTTCATACTATTTTCTTTTCCAAGTTAATCCAAGAAGACCTGTGGAATAATATTATTTATATGCATTTATTACTGAAATTGCGATATATTATTAAAATGCAATAATATATATTATTGATATGTAGTTATTACTGAACGTTTAAGGGAAAATATCACTCTCCCTTAAAAATATGTTAACAGAACAGAGTATAAATAGAAATTTTTCCCGAATGTATACAGCTTATATACACTGCTGGGCTACACTAGGAATTAAAGTATGCAGCAGAATCTTATTTATATATAATAAAATCCAATGAAAGCATAATTAAATTTTCAGATTGTTGTGTGTCACAGCGTGCAGAATTCAGTACACAGAGCTGCCAACTCTAGCAGCAACAGCAGCTATAATAGGTCTGGGCATCGAAATCGATGTCAAATGTGGGTTTTTCATTTTATGCGACTTCAGCTCCATCCCAGAAATCATCAATCGTAGTGGCTGGTGCATCTGGAGTGTGTCTCTCGCCAACTCAATAACCATACGCTTCTCATGGGTGAGAGATCTGGAGAAGTGCTGGCCAGGGCAATAGTCGCACCCCTGTGTGTAGATTAAGGTCAGAACATGCGGCCGAGCATCATCTTATTGAAAGATGGCGTAAGTCAGGCCTCGAATATAAGGCGTAACTCATCTTATTGATGGCGTAACTCAGGCCTCGAATATACACAACCATGGTCCGTAACACATGAGAAGCAAAACAGGGGCTGTACACATTACTGACTTTGATAACAAGAGGCGATCAGGATATGTATCCTTCCGGGTTCGTAAAGCACAACTCAACCCCTTAATTGCTCGGAACAGTGTATTATCTATAGACAACAAGTTACTTATTTACAAGTCCATTCTCAGACCATTACTATGTTATGCTAGCCCTATCTGGGCTCACACGCGTAAAACCAACAGAGGTAGGCTACAGGCCTGTCAGAATGTTGTACTCAGACAAATCACTAATGCAGAATGGTACATCAGGAACAACAGAATTCATGAAGAGCTGGGCATGACGCAGCTAAGATCTTTTTATTATAGGCTTGCCAAACGCTTCCACAGTAGGCAACAAGCCATTGACAACACATGTATTAAAATCTGTGGATATGACTACAATGATCTCAGGCACATTGACCGCCCCCTTGCCCAGCTGAATGTTTACATTATGTAATTCGTTCCTGACGTGTTTACCATTTCTCGCCTACCACCCACCTCTGATTTCATGTATTTTAATGTACATTCTCTTTTAATGTATCAGTACCAATTGCTTATATTTTATTTATTACATTTCATATTTATATTCTGCATCATGCATCATGTACTTTAAAATTATCCAGACTACTAACTTACTTGCTAAACTTACCATGTATTTGTAGTCACAGCTCGACAGCTTCCCTGGGCTTCCACCATTACAGCATTTTTGACCTAAAAATTTTTTCAAAGAAATATATTAGGATTAAAAAAAAAAAAAAAAAAAAAAAAAAAAAAAAAAAAAAAGATTAATTAATAAATAAATTCCTATATATATTCATTTATCATTTTGGCCACTATTTAAATGCTCTATTTGAAAGTTTCTAAATCACAAAATTAATTAAATGGAACCAAACTGTTCTACAAGGGGTAAGGCCTCTGGCCTAGGCACCCTGGTGTCGCAAACACCGCTCTACTGGGGAGGATATGTATCCACAGCAGCACGCCAGGTACTGGGCTTCAGGTATGGTAATGTTGAAAGCACGTTGGCAACGTTCTTTCTCCCTGGTGCCTCCACATTCATCACGATACTGTGCACAGAACTAAGATTCATTTGCGAGCATTACGTACTTCCACTCCTATGTTCAGTGCCATTATTCATCCCGACACTATAGTCGAGCCTGTCTCTGTTGCAAGTGTCAGAGGTAGTTGCAGCAACGGTTATCCGTGCTGGCAGTCCGTCTTATTTTATACGTGTGGATACTTGTCGTCCTGGACACGAGCCAAGTTCCTGGCTAAACAAACGTAAAAGTTCCTGGCTCAAGAAACGTAACCTGGCCGTATGATCCTACATGAACATATCTGTCTTTTCGGGCGTTACCTGCCTGGCATGGCGTTTAGTATAGCCCTCCTAGATCCACCGATTCCATACTCTTCTAACAATGATGACTCTGGTGTTTTCCTCATAACCGAATTCAAAACTGACAACTATCAGTACGCGAAATAACAATTCGCTTCCGATATTTAAACTTCATTTTTAGAAACTTAATATAAAGACTAAACTGTGATTTTTTGGAGAGGTATATTAATAATTCTCAAGAATATTTTACTTGAAGAAAAGAAGAATTGAAGGATAAAAGCAGAATCGAAAGTTACCGGTATCATTATGTGGTTATTATCTCATATTTTGGAATTGATAAACAATTTTGCGTTACAGCAATTTATGTGACATAACCTGTGTATGTATTATGGAATATTTGTAACATTCAATATCTGGGAGTATGTCGACGCCGGAGGCGCTAACTGTGGAAAATGTGTATTATTTTTATGCTCTATACTCACCACGAGGAGACGATGATGCTTGTTGTTGGAGCGCCATCTCGCGGCAACTTCTGTTGAGTTTTTTCTTTGCGTGTGTCCTGAGACGCAGTCTAGAGATGTGCATTATTCGTTTCCTTAAATGAAAAATAGATTAGTGATATAGTGTTGCTTGAAGTGTTTTCTTTTTTTCTAAATATGCGTTAAACTGAACTGTTGACTAGCCCAAAGATTTAGTATCTTACGGAATGAGTGTTTTTCCTAAAATTGAATATTATGATAATAGAAAGTGAGTTCCAAAATTTTGGATTTTTATTTTCTTATTCAGGATTACCCGAAAGGGACAAATATAGAGTGGTAAAGACCGCTTGGTAGTACACCACTTATTAAAGTGATACCTCTAACCTGCGACCTATGCCATGTTGCTTGTTCGGGAAACTCCATCTGCTGAAAGCGGAGGGGGAGGGGAATATTTTCCTCACGTCCGCGTTAACATGGAGAAAAATGGTTTTTCAATTGTGAATGAACGTGGCCGCGTTAAAGCGGTGAAGGTTAATAGTGGTGTTTATTTGTACTATCAGAATGTTTGATACATGCGTATATAAGTGTGTGTGTAGTTAGAGAACGAACTCGTGGCAAAACCACCTTCCTAGCATGACAGCCTCTGAAAGAGATCAGTATTTCTGGAAATATAAGTGTATGTAGGTATTAAACATCCTCTTATTAAGACGACCACCCGCAAAAAAAAAAAGAGGTCATATTTAATACTTATATTTATTTATATTCTTAAAAATACTGATCGTCTTAGAGAAGAGGTAGAGACAAGAGGGGTCATTGTAAATTTTTAAATTTTAAACCTTTTTGTTGGTTACAAACCAGAAATAACCTTCATTTCAACAGTATCAAGTAAAGGAAATAAAAATAAATAAATAAATAATTTAAAATTATTAGTAGACAGCAAAAATACCAATGAACTTTGGTGTACTGATACCAGTTTTAATTTCATTGTTTACAAGAAGTCTATTCTTGTCAGTTAGAAAATTATTATAAACCCATATAAACCAAAAGAAGATTTATTTGACATCCATTTCGATTATATTGATACCAGCAAAAGTAAAACCAATACAAAACATAGAAAGTTTTGACATTGATGTTAGTTGTATAGGTGTCAGGTTGATACCAGTAAGAAAAACTCACAGAGATCAATAGAAACCAGGAAAAGTCAGTAGAGACCAACATAATTCTATGGGTACTAATAGACACATAAGAAAAACCAGCAGAGACCAACAGAAACCAGTAAAATGCAGCAGAAACTATTATAATTTTACGGGTACCCATCAAAAGTTTTATTAGTTTCTATGGGGCATTTTTAGCAGGGACTCTTTTTTGCTATCTTCTCTTCTCGCCGTCAATTTTGGATTACATCCAATCTCCTGCTTTTCCTTCGTCACTGCCCAATTTCATTGCAGTTCTAGTTGAGCTTTGACTTTCGTGACTGCCACAAGTCATTTCGACCTTCTAAAACCATAATTGAGTTTACATTCACCATAGCTGACTTTTACCTCTTCAATGATTTCGACAAATATCAAAATTTTTGCTATTCTTAATATTTTCATGGAAATAATTTTTCATGCTTTAAAATAAGCTGCCTACTATTATCGACGCGTTGCATTTTACTTTATTAGAGGGTTTGGCCCAGTAGTTCACTTCGCCTGGCCCACAGCTGCCTATGACTTCCATGGTCCCGGTATGATTTATAATACGAGATTTGAAATGCCTCTTGTTTGATTTTCTTTGTACAATGAAGCTTTATTTCTGTTCTTCTTTCACCTCTCGAATCTATGCCAACATATATTATCTGGATCAAAACAAACGATTGTCTGCATAGAAACCTCACTCTGTAAGCAGAATGCGTTTTGAGAAACACATATTTAGATGTAATAATGATGAAATGCCTCAGTTATCATTCGGTATGACTGGTAGAATTTGTTAAACATTTATTTCTGAAACTTGGTAAACGCATTGTGTTTAGAACATAATTTGATTATTGTTTTTATTTCAGACCGGTAGAAAACGAGGGAGAATTGTATGCTGTCTTCTATGAGATGGGATATCTACCATGTTACGAAAGGAATTACGTTCGAGGTGATCCCATATATCCCGTCATAAATGGTAAATATTTTTCCTTTTGATGGAAGCTTACAGACTGTACATTTTAAACTTAAAGCAATGCTTAATTTCTTCATGAAATTCAAAGATAATTTTGTGTTTAGAACTTGCAACTAAATTGCCAAATTCTTAATATTTTGATTTTTGAAGCCTTTAAATATAAATTACGGGGAAAATTAGTATTTAAGTCATTTGAATGTACATTACATCAGTATGATGGTAACACTCTTCATTTATGCAATGAATATAATACACGTATACCGAAAATGTGATTTGTAATTTATTTCTTCATTATATTTAAATATAATAGCAACTTGTTTAATTGTAGTCTTAGTGAAAGAAATCAATTCTGCGTAGAATGCTTCATTTGAATGTTCTTATGTTAATATTTTTCATTCGGGTAAGTATAAGAAATAAAGGCACTAGTATAAATTCATAAAAACTTCAAATTAATTGTTTTATTTCATATTTTAAACTGATGATCTATATGTTTCCTATCTGAAAAAAAAAAAAAAAAAAAAAAAAAAAAAAAAAAAAAAAAACAACCTTGCTGAGACTATAGATTGCCCATAAAGGAAACTCCTAATTCGGAAACGTTATCTACACTCATGTCCATAAATTAAGGATAATGCAAAATCAGGAATTTTTCTGAATTTTAATATTCTAGAAAGGAGAAGGGTAATTTACACTTAAGATGCATTTAACTATTCTGTAAATCTGTCTTTATACGAAGTGCGCCCATAAAATAATTGGACAGTTTCTTATAAGTAAGAAAATGCTAACTAAGCTTCAAACAAATTGATTTCCTTGAAAATAATTTCCTGAGGAATCTACACAATTTTTCCAGCTTTTCTTCAGGTTATGGAGGTACTGTTTATAGTCGCTGGAACTAACCTTGTTACGCATTAACTAAAATGTTACTCAAAATATGCGTAACATTTGAATTTGAATGGCGTCCTACATCTTCTGAGTATGTGTGATTACGGCAAAGCCTTGAGGGCTATCTGCGCAAGGGGAGGGATGCCTTCGTGGATGACTTTCTAAGGGTAACTGGCATTATACACGTTACACATGGGGATAACCACGAAAACGCCCATGCAGCCAGCCCGTTCGCGGGATTCGAACCTCGGACCGAACTACCAGTGTTCAGCGGCTTTTACTGCTCGGCCGTTGGTGGGAGCGAATGGCGTCCTGTATTTGGTTCAGCTTCATCTCTTTCGCGGCAATTTAAAGCAGTCGCGCCACTCATAGACTTGTATTCTTGATAATGACGCATTACCATATACTGTTTGAATAATCTGCTTAGCAACAGCTGATATGTCGCACTTTCTAAACATACATTTATCCCTTCACTTTTTTATTTTATCGTTTGGTATTTTAATTTGTTCGGTTACTCTATGGGTCCACTTTGTAATAATGTAATTCAAATTAAAATTCTATCTTGCAGAACTCTCTTTAAAGCGTTTTCTAATCTTGTGGTTTATCTGACAATAATATATGTCTTAATTTACAGATATCAATTACGACGTAAAGAACCTGCGAATATTCTCTAGCATTCGTTTGGATTTCGATCTAAAGAACACAGCTCATATGGAAATAGAATCAGGTGGTTTGCTTGGAATTGGTTCTCCGTTTGAACCTTTTTTTCCGGATATTGCTATAAAACCTGGTTGGCATTATGATATACGATTACAGATGGTGAGTGATACATTTGTAAAATGATAAAAAATCCCACCATACAAATCTATTTATAGTTTTGCTATTATTACGTAAACCTTAGCTTTGTTTTACTTAAAAACCTTTTATTTCTTTCCCCACAACTTCATTCATTTTTTTATCATGCGTTCACTTCAATATATTCATATTTCAAATGGTGCTGCGTTTCCAAGAGCTCGACGGTACCAAAACAATACTAAGAATTTTTATTAATTTTCGTTCTTGACTTTCTGTTATTACCTTTCTCAATTGCGAATCTTGTGTAATATAATTTTTTTATTGCTGCTGCTGTTCCAGGAGTAGTTAAATATTGCTTAGTTAAATACATTGTGTCTAGTTAACTTGATGTAAATTATCTCGTTTAAGAACTACATTTATTCAAAAGTCTGGCTAAATATGAACATGAAAATTATATTAATGTAATCTTTTAGAAAATGGTATAAATGTGTGAATAAATGTATTGCATTAGGATTGCTGAAGTTAACGCATCGCCAGCATTTTAATAAGTTATTTATACTGCCAAGGAATAGATATATCTTTTCAAAAAATTAATAACAGATATTGTGATAAGAAACGAATTTAACCTATATTTTTCAGAAACACAATGCATTCTTTCCAATGAAAAAGAATAATAGATTTTTCCACTTGGGAGAATAAAATAAGAAAATGAGAAACGGTGGCTATTTGGAGAACTTTCAAGCTGTCATGGGAAATAATCCTTCCCGCAAGAGTGATTGCAGATATGTTCTCATCACTAGGTGTTGGTGTATTTAATTATGGCAAAGCACACGAAGGCTATCTGCCTAAGAGGAGGGATGCCTTCGTGAAGAACTTTCTAACGAAAACTGGCTCGTATACACGTTACACATGGGAAAAACCACGAAAACACCTATGCAGCCAGCCCGTTCGCGGGATTCGAACCTCGGACCGAACTACCAGTGTTCAGCGACTTTACCGCTCGGCCGCTGGTGGGCAACCACATTACAGAGAGAGAACGTATAGCAAAAGTGTAGCAGAATGCGAGAGCCATCTAGTGACGAATTTCGCGAAAGCCACTGAGAACTGGTAACCGGAATTTCGTTCAGTCTGGCCAAAGACATTCTTTGGTCTGGCAGGCCTTGAGTATAAGTTGGCTTTGCTCTCCACCCACTAACACAGAGCGTCATCTGGAGGCTGCTACAAACCTGAAAAAAGAAACACTGATAGCGCATTTTATTCCTGTTTCGTAGATATTTCTTATCTAAATATAATAGAATTATGTACACTACAATTAGTATTTCATTGCAAAATTAGTGACTAAATGTTTGCTCTTCAAATTCGCATAAATTAGTTACGTTATTAAATTTATCTATACAAAAATAATATTATTTTAATTACCTTAAAAAGCTACTGCAAAATAGTGAACACTCATTGTAATTAAGAAATTTATTACTTGTATTTCATCATTGTAAATTGGGCATCATTGTAAATTGGGAAAACCACGAAAACGCCCATGCAGCCAACCCGTTCGCGGGATTCGAACCTCGGACCGAATTACCAGTGTTCAGCGACTTTACCGCTCGGCCGCTGGTGCGGTCTCTCATCACTAGGACAAAGACCTTTTAAGATACGAGTACTAAGAGCTTTGGATTTTGATAACCATGCTCTTCACTAATTTTTTCAGGAGAGTTTTGGGGTGCTCTTCCCTTTATTAGTTTTGATGGTATGATGGATGGAATTATGGGATAGAAATGAAGTCCTGCAAATATGCAGGTCATTCCATGAGCTCACCGATTTTTCTTTCGAATGTCTCCGACGATGAGCATTGTCGTTCATGAAAAAGATCGAACATTCATTTCAAGCAGGAAACAATAGACATAGTCTAGGAGAAACTCGGTGTAGTATCAGTGTGAAAATAATTCTTCATATCTTCCGCTTAGGCACCGTTATACCTAAGTGGCACCGTTATATAACAGTGGCCGTTATACCACAAAGTCATTGTTATACCACTTATACCATTTATATAACCGTTGGGGGCCTAAGTGGAAGATGTGAAGAATTATTTTACCATTGTACATAATGCTCGTTTAAACAATATCTTATCTATCCTAATTGTGAGCTTCTTGGACATTCAGTCGAAGATAGTGGTCTTTTTTCTTTCTTTGCACTAGCTGAAACCGAAGTACTGCTGTTCATGGTGAATGGAGATTCGTCTGAAACCTTTACTTCGGTTGCCTATCCCAGCAAGTACAAGCTATCTAAATTAAGTAATCAGAATTTTTCTAGAAGCATTTTTATTTAGGTTTCCATAGGTCTGTAAAACATTTACAAAAGTTACAGTCCCGTTATGCCGCAGTTTTAAATAGAACTTGATGGTGCATTTTTGCTCAGAACTCCTTATCTCTAATTTTTATGAAGCACGAAGAAATTTCACTTCACGAAAAACGCGGAATACAATATGTATATGAACTTACGAATCTTCTTCTTGAACTGAAGCTATGACAAGCTGATCTTAGTGCTTCGTAAAGGAAAATTTATCTTCCTCTGTGTTACGAAATTTAACAGAACAGAACTGACACCACTTTGTCTGACCGAGAAGAATGCTGTGGAGCAACGCATCCATGTTAATTATAGGCGCCACTCAATCGTCTGTGATAACTGTTATCTTCATTTCCTTTATTTATTTTTTATGTCGTTTAAACGTATTATGTATTTACCTCGAGCGTGTGACGTAGATAACTGGATCATGTGACATATTTTCTTTCGCGGACAACTCTGTTTACAAGTGGGAGTTCAACGACGGAACGGATTAAAAATATTGTCAGTCCTGAGACATAATGCAAAATAAAACGACCTTGAGCTAACTTTTGGATTGATGTGAATGACTAAAATAATAGACTACTAGTTTTTGATACTCCCAGAGTGAAGATGGTTAGAAGAAAGTATAAAAATCTATATCAAGTTTTCTTAGTACATTAAAAGTTAGCCCAGGAAATAGTTGGCGACAGTGACATCATCCGTGTGTCAAGATGCTTCGGTCGATCAGCCTACTCAGTATTTCAGTAATGGATTAAAAGGGTAATCAAAAGACAAAATCATCAAATTATAAATAGCAGATATAATAACACATTGGAATATTGTGCGTCGTGAAACATAATGGATATAATATTGTCTGTCCTGTAACATCTACATACTTTCCAGTTAAGTAGTTATTTAAAAGCAAATTTTTATGTTAAGCTCAAAACTCATTGATATGCTGAAATAATCGCAAAAGAGGGAAAAAAAACTAGTATTCTATTTCATGAAGGGGATTAAATGTTATGAAAACGCAGTATTTTTCAATATTTTTATCTCCTACAGAAAACGAGTAATAAAATGAAAAAGTATTTTCCCATTATTTTCGCTTCTCATGCATTTTTTTATTAAAACGAAATTTGGCATTTAATGAGAACTATAGATCGCGATTTTCAGTTTGTACAGATCTCAAGCAATATATATATATATCCTTGTGATGTACCAGCTTTTGTCGGGAATAAATAGAATGGTCAATAATCATAAATGTAGTCGTAGCTTAAATTATCAGACGATGATAAGTTTAAAAAACAGGATCCATTTATTATTGGCCAGGAGAAATAGCAGTTACAAAATCAGATATCCGGAGTAAAATAAAAAGAATTACTAATAACTTTTTGTATGAAGTTTACTGCATCGTGACATTTAAGAAAAGCCCCCGATATACTTTTGCGAGTCTTTTTATAGCCTCTGGAAAGGCGGAGCTTCCAAGAAATGACGTCAGCCTCGTCAGCCAATCCAGTTCGCTTTAAATATTTCCAGAACATTCTATAACTGTACGTATAGAAAAAGGCTGGAAAAACAACTTGCCTACGGGGCTGTGGATTTAATTCCACGTACTTTCAAATAAGAGAACGTTGTCATTAAAAATGAAAAGAACATACAGTTAGAATTTTAAGTGTATTCTTGACTATAGAATTTTATTATTACAAATATATATATAAGTCTTTGAATAATTATACTCACATTTAGCTATAGATAATTCTATAGAATTTATTAATGGTGTATTATTGTATTTAAATAAGTTTATTACATTCTTTTTTAAATGCTAATATTGTTTATTCACTTCAGATTTTACCAGAATTCCTTAGGTTTCCAATATTATCTGAAAGCGTTCTTAAAAGCCATTACACTTCTAGAATTTATATGTAAAATTTATTCTCGCGTGATAATTAAATATAGTACTATACGTCTCTGCTGTATCTAGAAGCTTGTGTTAATGTTCTTCAAATCTTACTGCACTGGAAGTGAGTTATCGCTTTAAACAAAGTCTTAAGAAATTAAAGTAAAATAGAAAGGCACTTCTTGTGCAATAGACGAACTTCTGGTACTTCCGGGTATTTAATTTAACATAAGATAAAAATAAATTCAAATGTAGTCTGCTCACGTAGTCTGCTACTACAACACCAAAATATATTACTTGAGCTGGCTCAAGATAATTATCGGCGCCTAGTGTAAACGTCCGCTAGGAACACGCTAAAAACAGAATAAAACTCTGGCAGAGCATAATAAGAAAGAGTAAGACGAGGTTGCAAGAAGATTTAATTCTAAATATTTAAATCTTCGCTTTAATGCACAGTAACCAACTTGCAATCTGATGATGTTATGTTGTGCCCACATCCATAATAAGGATCTATTTGCCTGTCGTGTATTATGGACTATAACCCCCATAGGACAGAACATCCTCAGGATGTTCTATTTAAGTCGCAATATCCCGGGACATACTTGGGATGTCCTGAGTGAGTTGACTCTCAGATGTTCTGAGGACATCGTAATTTAATATTCTGAGGATTTCTTATTTAAGTTGCTATGTCCCGAGATATGAGAGGATGTCCTGAAGATGTTGATTCTCAGATGTCCGGAGGAATTCATAAATTTCACATCCTGAGGACATTCATGCTGCACTGTCCGGAAGACTTCGGTTGTAAAGC